CCTGTGAGCACTTGAATTTGCAGCCCTTGTTTCTTGTTCTTATCATTCCATTTTGTGTTGAGGAAAAGGCTCCTTTCCAAGTCTGACTCTGCCTGTGTCCTCAGACCCATGCAGAGGACTGAGCATAGGGCCCAGCCCAAAGTAAGACTTATCTCTGCTCCTGCGGCTTACCCCGTCCTGTGTCTTGTCTTTTCTTACCTCAGCTTTGCTTCTCTACCCACGCCTCACTCTTGTTTTCCCTCAGACATGCCCATCTTCCCTGGCTCGTTGGTGGGAGGAATATTCGATCTGTGCTCTCTCTAGATAGTGTTCGGTTGATCTTTTCCCTCGAGCTTGTCATTTTCTAGCTGCTGCTGTCTCTTTGAACCCTTTTCTTTATCCTCTCCAGATTCAGCTTCCACCCCTGCTGATGTCATATTCTCCATGGTCCCAGCTGACTTCTCGAGTCCTTGCTGTCTGTCACCTCTTTGCAATTTTTTTAAAAGATTTTATTTATTTATTTGACAGAGTGCATGTACAAGCAGGGGGAGCAGCAGAGGGAGAGGGAGAAGCAGGCTTTCTGCTGAGCAGGGAGAGGGAGCCTGATGCGGGGCTCGATCTCAGGACTCTGGGATCATGACCTGAGCCGAAGGAGACACTTAACTGACTGAGCCACCCAGGCGCCCCGTCTTTGCAATTTTTAAATACGTTTTCTTTGTATGTAGTCAGTTCACATTGTAAAAAGTGTGTCTCTGACCCCTTCCCCTAGTTTTCCGGTTCCCTTCTATACCATTAGTTCCCAGTATTTCTTTATATTCTTGCATTTTATTCTATGTTTGGATATGATAAATGCATTATGTTGCCGTTTGCCATTTTTGTTTAATAGTAAACCCGATCTAAAAGTAAACCACACCATGGTGGCTTGCCAGCCTCATGAGATCACTCAGAATTGATTATTCTCAAAAATAAACAGCCTCACCATTTGATTTTAATATTTGTCTTTCTAACATTTATATCTTTATTACATAGATGACTATGGAAATTTTCTGTAGGCAGATGTCAACCTGAAATGGGCATTGAACCTGCTATTTTTCTGTGATTCCGGAGTAGCTTCACAGTATGCATTCTTTGGCCACAGTTGGCAAATAAGAGCTATGTTTTGTAAAAAACACCCAAAGCCAAGGTTTCAGCTCTTTCTTCAAGATGTTTTAGGTGTGATTCTTAATAAGTGATCATTCATTGAAAAGGCAAGTGTGCAGAGACACACAAACACCACCCACCTGCCCCCACTGTGCATTTTCCGTTTTAAAGTTTGCCAGATAAGCTTAACTATTTTGGTAATTATGAGAAGGATAATGGATGTTAAGTAAAATGTAGAGACTGGAATTCATTTCCTACCACCATCCTGCCCTGCAGTTTTTAGAAGGGAGTAAATGAAGAAATTCGTGTGCCATCCAAGTTAAGTGGATTGACGATGTTGTAGAGCTGGTTAGCGGCAGAGCCAGTACTGGAACCTGGTGTCCTGGCTCCTAAACCAGTTTTCGCTTCAGAACATCAGAAACGGTTCTCTGTTGTGCCCCCTGACATGTCAGTAGAGCTCAGCTGTGTGTGGAAAAATACACAATCATGTAATCCAAAGACGTCTGTAGTTTTCAGATGTCCTTAGGAGATTCTTGTGTGTCCCCCTTTTTATGCAAATGACAGCACGTTCTACACACTGAATCAGTGTTCTTGGCATCTGCCCCATATCTGACATGTATATCTGCTTTTTTAATGAGCTTCACAGTTTCCCATTACTTGTCTGTGCCATAGTTTAATTGGTCCCTTATTGATGAACATCAAGGTTGGTCTCAGACCATATCAGGAAGTTAGAGTAAGGACTGGATATTAAATGCTACTAAAGAATTATTGTTGATTGATAGGTGGGACAGTAGTATTGGATATGTAAAGGGAAGTACCTATTTTGAGGACTGTACTGAAATAGTAAAGGGTGAGATATTGTGTCTTATTTTAAAATGCCTCATTTTTTTGCCAAAATGAGTGTGCCAAACTAAAATCTAGGTTTTGGGGATAAGGGATGGGTCGCCAAAGCATTATCTACTTTTCTGTAGGTTGGAAATTATGTTGCATGCTAAGTTTTAAAATGCAGCCATAATTTTTTTTTGTAGTGTTCCATGATTCACTGTTTGCGTATAACACCCAGTGCTCCATGCAGTATGTGCCCTCTTTAATACCCATCACCAGGCTAACCCATCCCCCGACTCCCCTCCCCTCTAAAACCCTCAGTTTGTTTCTCAGAGTCCATAGTTTCTCGTGGTTCATCTCCCCCTCCGATTTCCCCCCCTTCATTTTTCCCTTCCTACTATCTTCTTTTTTTTTTTTTTTTTTTTAACATATAATGTGTTATTTGTTTCAGAGGTACAGGTCTGTGGTTCATCAGTCTTGCACAATCCACAGTGCTCACCATAGCACATACCCTCCCCAGTGTCCATCACCCAGCCACCCCATCACTCCCACCCCCGCCACCACTCCAGCAACCCTCAGTTTGTTTCCTGAGATTAAGAGTTTGTCTCCCTCTCTGGTTTCATCTTGTTTCATTTTTTCCTCCCTTCCCCTATGATCCTCTGTCTTGATCTCAAATTCCTCATATCAGTGAGATCATATGATACTTAAATCTTTCTCTGATTGACTTATTTCGCTTAGCATAATACTCTCTAGTTCCATCCACGTCATTGCAAATGGCAAGATTTTGGGGGTTTTTTGATGGCTGCATAATATTCCATTGTAGATATATACCACATCTTCTGTATCCATACATCTGTTGATGGACATCTTGGTGCTTTCCATAGTTTGGCTCTTGTGGACATTGCTGCTGTAAACATTGGGCTGCAGGTGCCCGTTTGGATTACTGCATTTGTATCTTTGGGGTAAATACCCAGTAGTGCAATTGCTGGGTCGTGGGGCAGCTCTATTTTCAACTTTTTGAGGAACCTCCATACTG